CAATGGAAAATTCCCATCCATCACTTGAGTAAGTATCTAAACTATGGCAGCATAGCTAGAGCACCCTAGCTGTGCCTCTTTAGTATAGACGTGGCCTTAGAAAACATCTTATACAAGCTCCCTTAGTAACGTTGGTGGAGGCTGCAGGATATCCTGGCAAATTATCAATCATCTTGACTTTGCAGATGATATAGTAATGATAATGCCTATCATAATGATAATATAATCAAGAAGCAGCAATTAACCTGTAAACACGAGCCAGAGAATGGGGATTAAAAATGAATGAACAAAAGACCAAACTAATGTGAAATTAGTGAAATCAGAAATCAACAAACTGACTAAACTAGTCATTAATGGTTTAGACATATCACACGTAGATGGATTCTTCTACTTGGATTCCATTATAACATATGACAACTACCATGAAGATGACATTGACAAGTGGATAGCTGCTGCCAGGAGACCATTCATGTAACTGAATAAAAATGTTTGGAAAGTAAAATCCGTAACAGCTAAAACCAGATTATATACAACACTCGTTGTACCCACATTTCGTTATGGTTGTGAAACATGAGTATTGACAAAGTGTCTGGAGCAAAAACTACAAACATTGGAAATAAGGTGCCCTTGCCATATCCTAGGTATGACATAGCTAGGTAGATTAAGAAATGGCGACACCCATAAAGGACTGAAAGTGTCGTGCATGTCTAGAGTCATCAAAAGATGCAAACTACAGTGGTTTGGCTATGTTGCTAGATTGACCCCATACTGACTGCTTAAAATTGTTTACTATGGAAGAGTGCACCGAGAGAGAGGCTGTGGATATCCAAGTGGTATAACATGGTATATAAGACCAACCAGGTAACACCCCAACTGGCTCAAATGGAAATGGTGACTCAAAATAGATGTGGATGGAATCTGTTTATAGCCTTGGCCCTATCCATCTTCACTGAATTAGCTAGTTTCCAATCATGTAGTCTTGCGTGTCCAGTATCACCAGCAGATTCACTCATTCATTCATCTCTTTTTCAATCTGCTGGTGATACTGGACACGCAAGTCTGCATGATTGGAAACTAGCTAATTCAATTGTCTCATCAGTCGAGAGTCAGTTAGGTTAACAAGTAAATTACCCATTCCTGTTGGTTCTATGCCCCACTCCTTGCTCTATCTGAAGCAGGGAATTGAATGTTAAGGCACTGAAAAAATCCTTTCCCTCCTATGTAGCGAGAGAAATCTGCCAGGCCCCCCTTACACAGGTGTGGGGTCAAAGAAGGGATGTAAAATTAGCTACATTATTTATAACATTTTGGTTTTGTATTTAAAAAATGTTTCCCTAATCTGTACTACCTACCTATATCCCTGTTTGTGCTAAGTGTATTTGTTCATAGATTCATAGATATTAAGGTCAGAAGGGACCATTACGATCATCTAGTTTGACCTCCTGCACAACGCAGGCCACAGAATCTCACCCACCCACTCATGCGAAAAACCTCTCACCTATGTATGAGCTATTGAAGTCCTCAAATCATGGTTTAAAGACTTCAAGGAGCAGAGAATCCTCCAGCAAGTGACCTCTGCCCCATGCTACAGAGGAAGGCGAAAAACCTCCAAGGCCTCTTCCAATCTGCCCTGGAGGAATATTCCTTCCTGACCCCAAATATGGCGATCAGCTAAACCCTGAGTGTATGGGCAAGATTCACCAGCCAGATACCCAAAAAAGAATTCTCTGTAGTAACTCAGATCCCACCCCATCTAACATCCCATCACAGGCCATTGGGCCTATTTATAGACTTACATAATAATAAACATGGTAAAAAAAATTAACATTACAGGTCATCTTTAACCCAACCAAATGTGAATTAAAATAAACCATGATAATTGTAAAAACAAAGCAAAACAAAACCCAAGTGGGACCATGTAAAGGGGCATGTTAGAGTTCTTCCTTTCTATGTGTTTAAACCACGTGTCAACTTTAAGCTTTTGAAGAAAATCACTGGTAGGTGGCTAGAATTTGGTACAGAAACAGGTCAAATTAAAAAGGAAAACTTTAAATTTAATGGCAAACTTGAGCAACAGCCAAATGTAGACTAGCTTACTCTGCCCTGAACACAACTGTTGCTGTAATACTGTATTTACAAGTACAAAGAAAAATCCTCCACCATTTGGCTGTATGAGAGGTTCTGGTTTTGATGGTTATTGGCTTTCTACATGAGACATAATCTTTGACCATTGGGTATACTTTCCAAATTCTAAACAGATAGGTTTTTGCCCTTGGCTTCAAAATCTGCTAAATTCAAACAGAGTTCTAGCAATAATTATATTTGATGAAAGAAATTTGTGAGATATTTAGCTGTGAGTTTACACTGCATCAGAAACAGTTATGTCTATTATGCTCCATATAAAAAAAGTTGCATTTGAGTGAGAAATTTGCTTCAGAGGAAATGTGCGTACCCAGTAATTTTCTGCATTGAAAAGGAAAAAGTAATTTGGACTGTAGCTTTTCTGCATTTGAAAAGAATCAACGAGAGTGCATGTTCCAAAAATGAGAATACAGTGACAAAAATGTAGCCGCATCGTACTTGTCCACTTTGACCAGAAGCAAATTTTCCAATTTAGATTATCTTCACTCTATGGGCTCATTTATGCTCAGTTCAGTAACTGCTATCCAATGCATCTGTCTCAGTTTCAAACTGTAGGATTTGGCCTTCACAGCTAGTAACTGAAGAGTGAAACAAAACCAATGTGAACTCCTCTTAGCTCCTTTCTTTCTGACTTCCTTTCAACCTCTGTTTCTATTTCCAAATTTTTTTGGAGGAGGGAAACAGGATGGATCATAGAAACGATTGTGTGCTTGATGGTGGGAAGAGAGAACAACTCAAACACCTTTTTGTTGCAACTTGCTCTCTGTGCAAAAAGCCTGATTGCTCAGGTTTTGTGGGAGGAACTCTGTGGGGTTGGACAAAGGGAATCCTACCCACTCTCTCAACTCACAGACAGGGCAGAGGGCTGAAGCTCAGCCTTTCCTTGCTCCTTACTCTATCCCAGTGGGCTGGGAAAGCATCTACAGCCATTCTGTGCACCTATATGGCTGTTTTTACTCATGGACCTAGCAGCTCATCCACAATGCTAATTTATTTGGAGTCAGTGAGGAGACCCTGACCTCCCTATCTGTTTCATTTGCAAGGAGTGAAGCTGAATGCAGATTAAATTGAGCAAATGGAGCTGCTTTAAGCCTTGTACATTGCTCTTTCCATGTGGCTGAATTTCTCCCAGCCTAACTTCCGTGTTGCCTGTTTTTCTGATGTCTCATCATCAATGAATAGCAGTCCCTCCAGGGAACATTGGTCCTCTGTCTCCAATTCCACTGATCCAGTACCTAGAGGGTTCAGAGGTCCCCCGAGCACAGCCTTTCAGAAGGGATTAAATGGTGCAGAAAACCTTTCACTGGTACTCTGCACCTGGGTGAATTTCACCCTCTCGGTGTTGCATATATTAGCTACTGGGATTTAAGTTGAAAGGAAGGAACAGCGCATGTATGCTTGTGAGTTGGTACAATATATGTAAAATAAGCTTTGTGGCTCGTACTTTCCCCCCAAGTTGTTTTCTGCGATAGTTAAAGGGTAATTAATCATAAAAGCCATATATTTTTAAATTCCTTGCCTCTAAACAAGAACACCTTAGATTGATTGATTTTGTTTTCTGTCTAGCATTTTGTGCAACATCCTCTGCTATAGTATCTGGGCACCTAAGGTGATCCTAAATTTACATCATAGCTGGATTAGACATAACATCTAATCCGGGATTTTGATACTCATACTGTCAAAATTATTGTTCATCTGAACCAGAAAAGACTGGGATCAATTCCTATTAGGTGCTGATTACACACAGAATTTTAACATTTTTGGTGGAGAAGACTATTAAAGGAAAGATTTCTAAATTGGCTTTTTCTCTCAGTAAGTTCTGGGCACTTTCTCACTGTGGGTCTACTGTTTGTGCTTTAGTTTATTATTAACATTAGTGCTTGTTGCAGAGGAGTTAATATAAAATATAAATGAAGGGCAAGTAATAAGGAGAAGAAGAAATCTAGAACAAAGTTTATCTGGCATTTTTACAAGAATCTCACTACGTAGTTTAGGAGGACAGTCTGCTTTCCCTGAGCTACCAGCAGGGCTTTGAAATGTAAAAGGTAGGAGGAAAACATAAAACATTAATCCTCCTCCTTCAAGCAGTAAGGGAAAATAATTAAACTCATGAATCAACAGTGTAGTTATGTTCATAGTAATACTGTACCTTCCTGTGAGGGAGTGAACAAACACCATACAAGACCAGAGTAGGAAGAGGTTAAAGGTCCATCTGGGAAACAGAAGCTGAAAGTTGCCTTGCACTGCAACACCTGCCAGCAATATTAAGCCTGGACAGAGGCCACTCCTGCTGGGGGTATTTGAAGTGGAGGAAGCAGACTTGAGGGCTGAGAGATCCTAGACAGCTAGGAACTTTAGGGGAAGCCTGGATAAAAGTTTGGACTTTTTGTTCATGATTTGTTTTTATTATTGTTCATTTCTTTGTTAATAAACTCCAGCTGTGGGAAGGGATTACATTTTTGATCCTATGTGTTTTAGAGCAGGTAGGTTACTCTCTGACTTATGCTTCCTCGTTACACTGTGACTTCAAAGTGTACCTAAAACCGGTGCCAAATAAAACTAAGCCAAAGACTGTGTTTCTGGGTGTGGTGCTCCATCTCCCTTCAGACTTGAAATGTTAACAGTCTCAGACTCACTCAGATTCCAAAACACATTCAGAATGTTCAGATTAATGGTCTAGGACTGGGGGGTGGGTGAGGGAGGAGAACAATTACAGAATGATCAGAGAGTTAATATCAGAAAACAGGGGTTTTCAGACTTATTACATTATTTGTCCTGTAGTGATGTCTAAGAACCAATTTTTTTTCTGCTCATTTTAAGTTTCATTCCTATGTTTGTTTGTTTTTTGTTTTTTTCAGGCATAAATATTGTCATGAAAGTTGGAGCTCTGCTGTTTTCAGTTGTGTAATCCTGATTTGGTCCAGGGCCAAGGAACGTGATACTACCCTTACAAGCTGAAATGCCTTGAGGACCTTGGCTCTGCATTCATTCCTCCAGAAGCAATGGTTTTCTCCGCAGTGTTGACATCTGCCCATTCTAGGACATTGAATGCTACTTTTATTGTCTATGAAAATGCCTATATGAATGTTACCACTCTCCAATTTTTGCTTCGTAGTGGCACGACACAACCATTGAAACACAGTTCAGGGGCCATGGTCACCACTGAGATAAGTACTTTACTAGTGAACCCTACAGCTATCCTGCCAACACAAGAAGTTTTCAAGAGCTTGAGTCTGCCACTCCAGATCATTCTTTCTGCTGCTATGATATTTATACTGTTGGTTTCTTTTCTTGGAAACTTTGTTGTCTGCCTCATGGTCTACCAGAAGGCTGCCATGCGATCTGCAATTAACATTCTCTTAGCAAGCCTGGCTTTTGCAGATATGTTGCTTGCGGTGCTGAACATGCCTTTTGCTCTGATAAGCATCATTACCACGCGATGGATTTTTGGAGATATCTTCTGCAGAGTCTCTGCCATGTTTTTCTGGCTGTTTGTCATAGAGGGGGTGGCCATCCTACTCATTATTAGCATTGATAGATTCCTTATTATAGTTCAGAGGCAAGATAAGCTGAATCCTTACCGTGCAAAGATTCTCACTGCTGTTTCATGGGCTGCATCCTTTGTTGTTGCTTTTCCATTATCTGTGGGGAACCCCAACCTGCAGATACCTTCTAGAGCACCTCAGTGTGTTTTTGGCTACACCACTAGTCCTGGCTACCAGGCGTATGTGATACTAGTTGTACTAATTTCTTTTTTTATTCCATTCATGGTGATGCTGTACTCTTTTATGGGCATACTCAACACTGTACGCCACAATGCAGTTCGAATCCATAGCCACCCGGACAGCATATGCCTCAGCCAGGCCAGCAAGCTTGGTCTCATGAGCCTTCAGAGACCTTTTCAAATGAACATTGATATGAGCTTTAAAACTCGTGCCTTCACAACCATATTGATTTTGTTCATCGTTTTCATAGTCTGTTGGGCACCCTTCACCACTTACAGCCTTATTGCCACATTCAACAGTCACTTTTACCACAAGCACAACTTTTTTGAGATAAGCACTTGGCTCCTTTGGCTCTGCTACCTCAAGTCTGCACTGAACCCGTTGATTTACTACTGGAGGATTAAGAAATTTCATGATGCATGCTTAGATTTAATGCCCAAGTACTTCAAGTTTTTGCCACAGTTCCCCGGTCACACAAGGAGACGCATTCGGCCAAGTGCCATCTATGTGTGTGGGGAGCACCGGTCAGTCGTGTAAAACTGCAGCTATTTGACATGATGATTATTTTGTGGGATTATTTGTTTTGTTTTATTTTAACATGGCTCCTTCAACTGCCATATCTTATAACTTAAGTATGGTTTTCCAATATCTTGTTCAATTTTATGGGAAAACGTGATTGATTAGAACTGGGTTTACTGTCAGAAACAATGTAAACAAAATTACAAATATTACCTCCAGGATTCAGCGGAAACCCAGACTTTTTTTTAAATTACATTTCTAATATTTTGTCAGTTTTCTGCTTATTAAGCCTGCAATTGCATCTAATTGTAGGGTTTTTTATGCTGCTATGGTACAGTATATTTAGTTGGTGTAATTTTTCTGAAAATGTTGCTGCTTTCTGCCAAGACATTAGAGCCAAAAAGTCACATTTAGGTAACTTCTGTTTAATTTTAACAAAATTTCAAGAGTTTTGATGATGACATCAGAACATTTAAAAAATATTTCCATTAATATTTTGTGCACTTTACAAAACTTGCTACAGAATCTGTTTTTCAGAATGTTTGTGTTGCCTGTGGAGGAGGTTTTTACACATTATAGTGGTAGTTTAATGAAAGATCTGTTTAGTTTCGTGAGGGCAGATTTACATTGGTGTATCTAAAACTACAATTACTGATTTGCTGGATATTGTTCCTGAAAATTAACCTGATGGGATATTAACTCCTTCATCCTGGTGAATGAGGAAATGGAGGCAGAATGAAAAGATAAAATATCATTGTACACATTTTAATATTTTTGTGGTTATGAAACTTCCAAATCTATTACTATGTTCAAAAGTCAAAGTTATAAATTAGGGCTGTGATCCTGTGATTTACAGCATGTAGGCAGACGACTGTTCCCATTCAGAGCCCTAAGGAAGTCAGCGGGAGTCTTTGTGAGTGGAATGCTGCACCCAGGCATTCTAAATGGGCAGGATCGAGGCCTGGGAGAGTCTATGGCCAAGGAATAATTGGAATAGGTGTTTCTGGGTCCAAAAAAAAAAAAAAAAGCACATGAACCATGTTTTGGTGTGGGGCAATAATAAACACCTTCATCTAAAGAATGGCCACAGTCCTAAAATTTATAACCACGACAAAAATTGAGAAAATCTTTCCATGAAATAATCTGATCTGTAATTATAAGAAGTTGGGGAGATGGTTTAACAAATGGGGAAAGTTTGGGAAGCTAGTTCAGAATTTATAATGGAGAGTTGGGCAGTGGGGCTTGAGTGGGATCAAATACGTCAAATTCCCTACCTCTCTCCTGTATTTCTTTATGTTGTTTTTATTTGCCATCTCCCACTCACATGGCCACTGCCCCACTCATTTATTATGTATTACAAATCAGCTTGTTTAGTGGAAGCTTCTTTCCCTGGAATGCCACACCATCTCTTGGATTCATATCAGGTACTGACTTTGCCTTTCTCGATAACTGCCTTGAAAATATCCATTTGTATTTGAGAATAGGAAAAATGTCGGTGGATTTCCCTCAATGATCATAATCCAGGTATGTATTTTTATCAACTACATAAACTTGTAAATGACAGGTGAATCGGATAAACGGGAAAATTTGTGGCGTTTAAGTAACAGCCCTGAATTGGGCTTCAGAGTGGAGACAGGTACTACCACAGGGAAGATTGTGCTTGTGGAAGGTAAAGTCTCTTCTGGGCTGTATTTGTGCATGGGAGGAGTGCAGCCTGCTCCCTCCACACACAATCCCATTGGCTACGAATTGAAGGAGCAGATTGCACCAGCCCTGCTCCAATTAGGGGATACAGTCATCACCCTGCTACCTTCCTACCCCCTTTTTCAGCATCCTGCTCTCCAGGAGTAAGCGGTCCCTCTGCTCTCCAGAGTACGGTGTCAGTTCTGTTAAATGTCCCCTTCTAAGCTGCATAAGGTGTGCGTGTGTGCATAGAATATCAGGGTTGGAAGGGACCTCAGGAGGTCATCTAGTCCAACCCCCTGCTCAAAGCAGGACCGATCCCCGACTAAATCATCCCAGCCAGGGCTTTGTCAAGCCTGACCTTAAAAACTTCTAGGGAAGGAGATTCCACCACCTCCCTAGGTAACGCATTCCAGTGTTTCACCAGCCTCCTAGTGAAAAAGTTTTTCCTAATATCCAACCTAAATCTTCCCCACTGCAACTTGAGACCATTACTCCTTGTTCTGTCCTCTGCTACCACTGAGAACAGTCTTGATCCATCCTCTTTGGAACCCCCTTTCAGGTAGTTGAAAGCAGCTATCAAATCCCCCCTCATTCTTCTCTTCTGAAGACTAAACATCCCCAGTTCCCTCAGCCTCTCCTCATAAGTCATGTGTTCCAGTCCCCTAATCATTTTTGTTGCCCTCCGCTGGACTCTTTCCAATTTTTCCACATCCTTCTTGTAGCGTGGGGCCCAAAACTGGACACAGTACTCCAGATGAGGCCTCACTAATGTCGAATAGAGGGGAACGATCACCTCCCTCGATCTGCTGGCAGCGTCCCTACTTATACATCCCAAAATGCCATTGGCCTTATTGGCAACAAGGGCACACTGTTGACTCATATCCAACTTCTTGTCCACTGTAACCCCTAGGTCCTTTTCTGCAGAACTGCTGCCGAGCCATTCGGTCCCTAGCATGCATGCATACTGCATAAGGCTTGTGTGTGTGTGTGCAAAGAAGCTTCTTGTTCTGTATGAATGCATAGGGACCACTCACTATCTGGAGAGCATGTCTGGATTAGATTTTATGAAGCTATTTAGTGAAGGTCTAAGGCCACTCTCAAAGTAATCTCTACTCCTCTCACCTAAAAATATTGATAAAAAGGTATTTGTATTTTGAACATATTAAAGTAGGAATTTTGCCTTGATTTTTATTTCAGTTTTAAATAATATCTTGTTTTGAACAATTAAATGCACTGCCACTCAATGCAGATTTAACAAGACTGTGGGCTTTCAAGCCGAGGCACCAGGGCTAAGGTGTTGTTAAAATGAAGAGGCCCCTTGAAGTTAGCTCTTACATTCACATTTAATTCTTCTGGTGGCATACTTGTAACGGTTATCCTCTGATCAGATGACAGGCAGTAATGGAGTTTTAGAGCAAAACAACTTGTTTTTTTGTGTTCCTCTTAGAGTACAACTCTTGTTTTTAATGAATTTTGCATCTGTGGCTCCAGTTTATGGCCGGGCTCGATTTTGTATTTCAGAGCTATCCACTCCTTTTCTCTCTGAAAACAGAAACATTGTGCTTTAACTAATGTCATACAATGGGAGCACACACACTCTACCACTAGCAGGAACAGATATTTTGGCTCTGTCTTCCAGACAAACTAAACTGGTTTGAATGGATGTAATAAAATAAAATAATTCAAGGAGGAAAGAAGATGAGTAATCCAGTGAGGTTAGTTAAATGATTCCTTGAAGGGGGAACATGACCTTGCGGGGATTTCATAATCTCTGATCTGTGCAAGCTGTGAAGTAGAAATTGCATCTGTCAAAAATGTGATTTGTCTTGGTAATGCAATGTTTAAGCCCACATTGGAGCATGTTCTCTTCTCAATGCTTGATCTGTTAATGTCAGCTCTTTGCATTGGGTCAAACTCAGAGGAGTCTTAAAGTGGGGGTGAAACATACAAATGGAATAGGTTTTGGGGATTGGGAGGTTAGCAGAAAAAAAACCCTAGCTAACCAAGAGGGAGTACAGTAAAGTAAAGGTGAGTTGCTCAGTATAAAAATCAGACCAGTTTACCCCAATGTGTTATTTACAGAACCAGTTGGTTTATTGTGTTCAATTGGCTGTTACAGAGCAGTGCCTTGTTAATTTCAGTTGAATTCTTAGGATCAAGATAAAGATTGTTAAACTGCTTACTCTCGCTGGCTATGATCCTGCAAACAGATGGTAACTTTACAAACAAGTGTTTGCAGTATTAGGGCAATTGTGTAAGAGAAATTTTAACTGGGGCCGGGGGGGGGGGGGGTGTTAAAATCTGAAATTAATTTGATCCTTCTTAATTTTAGGAGATTACAATATTATTCTTCCTCTCCAAAAATGACTTTTTTTTTTTACTCATGACTGAACTGTGTTCCCATCTATTATATTCTGAAGATTCTTTGGTATTGAAAATGAAAATGAATGTTTTTTTTATTACTTTGCAGTTATCTCAGTGTTGTTCAGTCAAAGCATGAAGCTGTCACAACTTTCATGTGTACGATTCTGTTGCTAAAATGAGTTTTCTATACTCCTAAGGGATGTTGCATTTCTTGGATAGTTTTACTACTTATGTAAAGGTATTTAGTTATATAGAGAAGAAAATGCTTTTTCTCTTTTCTTCCTCTGTTGATTTTCACTTTTATGCCTGATACTTTTATAATTTTATTTGGTTTTATGCTTAGACGACTGCCAGATTTTAATGTTCTTTCTAAGAACGTGAGAGATTTTTCACTCTCAAGTCATGCAATGTTGCCCTCCTTGAAAGATTTATTGGTTCATTTTTCTGTGAAAGCAGAACTCCAGAACACACATTTGTTGCAGCGAAAAGGGTGAAGAATTTCTTAAAAGTCAGTTTTTCCTGGAGCCACGACTTTGTCATTATGAACTGGTTTAATCTTTTTGAACAGTAGTAATTTACCTATGTGGAGAAACCTTGAATTTACTGTTTTAAAAACAAATTGTTAAGTAGAATTGTGTTGTATTTTCTGTACATATCACACCCATGAAAATAACTCAAAAACAAAAAAGGAAAATAAACATGAACATTCTTCAACCATGTGGGGAAAGTCTGTGACATTAAGAAATTGTTATATTCACACTCAGATGTAGGCCTGTCAAAACGCCTATAATTTTAATATCTGCTTTTATCATTTCAAATATTTTTAAAGCTTCCTTTATAATTCATATAATGAAGACTAATGTCTGCACCATTAGAAACTTTCCTATATTTGTAGCTGTTTTTGTTTCACCCAAAACATTATTTCCTTTATGGTAATTGTACAACAAAATGCAGTAATGCTAAAACTGCTATGGAGATGGTGCCAATATATCTGAAACATATGTTAGCATTTTTAATGAAGGAAAGAGTGAAAGCCTAAAGGAGGATACATAACTTTCTTTATTTCCGTATAAAGTAGATGTGCTACCTTTTAGCTATGACTGAGTAATTAAAATCATCTTGGTGTGGAATAAATAGAACATATGCCACGGGCAGTGGTACAGTACAGCATGATTCATTTCCACACATGACAACGACTTTTATGACTCAATTTCTGTCTATTTGTAAGTGACGGATTATTTCCGTCAGTCGTAGAAATAAGAATTGGGGTGAATTGGATGATAAGCATCTTGTGGTTTTATGGGAATTTTCAGTTAGCAAATGATCGACACCTCTGCCAATAATTTTTGAAAATTATGGAGAATTAATGTTATACTAAAGGACTGGTACAAGGTGATGTGATACCGGTCTAAGGACTTGTCTGCAGAGGGAAACTTCGCTATTGGTAACTGTGGTGAGAGTGCAAGTATAAACAGGATGCTGCTCACATTTTAAGCAGGGATCTAATGCAGGATTGGGGATCCAATATGTCTATATCATCACTAATTTATGGCTCTACGTAGTGTATAGATTATGTTCACCAGTAGAGGCCCCAGTTTAGCAAAGCACTTTGTGTTTAAATACCATTGACTTCAATTGGAATAAAGCACTTGCTTAAGTGCTTTTCTGTATCGGGCCCATATAGTATAAGTAAATGTGCAGGATTCCAATGAATTGCTCCCCAGTACGAACGGGCCTGGTGGGAAATGTGATGAAATACAATTTATTTCAGCATTTCTAAGGCTAACACTTTCCCCCACAATCAATCTCATCTGAGAAGAAACTGTTGTCTCTAGTAAGTGTTACTTTTTATGCAGTCTGAAAAAAATAGAGTAATCTTGTTATTACAAAAGAAAAAAATTGAAAAAAGAGACATAAAATCAGTGGTACTGCTAATACTTTAAAAACAAATAAATGCTGGTATTTTTGCATACTTCTGTAATTTTGTGAATGTTCAGCAAAACCACAGTTTCTATGGATTGCTACCAGAAGGATGTGCCAGAATTCAGATGCTATTATCAGATATACCAGTAGTTTGCTTTTATGCACAAAATGTTGGTTTTTTATAAGTAAGTTGTGCAACTCTTTTTATAACAATTATGGAAACATTAAAATCTTCAGAAATTTAAATATTGCAGATGATACAATATTCTACAGCTGCAAGCTTTGCATAATGCAACAATTCTAAAGCAGTATGTGTACCTGTTGTATTTGTCAGTGTCTAAAGAATCAGCTTACTGCTATGTGGGTGAAGAACATAGCAACAATCATGCAAACATACTTGTAGCTGTGACTGGCATTCTGCCTCAAGCAGATCGTTGCATGGAAAACCTCTGTGGTTGGTTTGATACGATTTAGTTTTGTTCACCAACAATACAAATTGGAATTCTCTTCTCCCATAACCACCCTCCCTTCTCTTTCCAACATTTTCTAGGACTACTGACCCCTTTTATGTGACTAGCTGACATTTATGGTGTGTGTGTGTGTGTGAGTGAGTGCGAGAGATGAAGGTTGTGTGGAACCTATGAAAGTGGACTACGTTTTAGGGTTTGTCTATATGAGGAAACTAAGGAAAGTCTATAGTGTAGATACTTACTACAGTAACAGAATGGTTTTTCTGTCGCTGAAGTAAATCCTCCTCTCCAAGAGGCAGTGGCTGGGTTGATGGAAGACTTCTTCCATTTATCTAGCTGTGTACACACCAGAGTTACGTTGACCTAAATACGGCACACAAGGCACAAAATGTTTTGCAGCCCTGAGTGATGTAGCAAGATCAACCTAAATTTTAGGTGTAGACCACGCCATAGTTTGCTTAATCCCAGAATTTCCTCTGGTATTAAGGGCCTGTCTACACTATAGGTGTACAGCTACAGGACTGCAGCAGTGCTACTGTGGAACTGTAGTGTAGATACTTCTTACATCAATGGAAGGGATTTTTCCATCAGTGTAGTTAATCCTTCTGTTTTAGAGGTGGTAGCTAAGATGACAGAAGAGTTCTTCCATTGATTTAGCTGTCTCTACACCTTGGGTAGCTCAACCCAACTATGGTGCTCAGTGTGAAATTTTTTCACAGCCCTGAGCAATTTAGCTAGGTCAATCTAATTTTTAAGTGCAAACCAGGGCTAAACTAAGGCCACTTTACTTCTGAATGTGAGAACATCCACATAGGGGGGTTTAATGTTCTTTAACTTCACACCATTAGTTAATCGGTCTTAACTTTCCTGAGTGCCCCTGTGTAGAGAAGCCCTTAATGCAATTGAGTAACTTTGGAGCCCAATTGTCACCATAATGGTGAGGCTCTTTGGAGATTTTTTTATGAGTAAAATTTTTGGATCATTGTTTTGTTTTTGACTTTAGAATACACATTTGTAATTTATTTCAAATTCTGAAAACCAAAAGGCATCCGTCCATAGATCTAGGTGCCCGGCTATCAATTTTATTGTACTGTACAATTTTGTATGTTTCTAAACCCCTAATCAGCCTCACCCCTTAGCAAAATCCTATTGTAGTCAAAATTAACAGATCAACACCCCATTCTGTAGGTGCATATAGCTATAATGTCTTCAGAAATACTAGGTGTTGCCATTGTAGGAGACGGCACCAGACTGGACAGGCCCCTGGCTTGTTTCTGTATGGCAAGTTTTTTGTTCTGAGATAGCAGTAATAATTTTTAATTCTTACTGTTTACATTTATTGTTGATCAAAGTTGAATTATAAGGTTAGTAATGGTATTTAAAAGGCCATTTCTTTGTACCTCTTTATTTACTTTTGAGATTCTTTCTATTCATGAGCTCACCTTGACTATGGTGCTAGGAAACTTCGGTGTCTTTGTACGCACAATTGAAGGTCTGTCTTTCTGGTGCTGATTGTGGAAGGCTGGTTTTCTTAATCGACTTTCTCAGAGGAATTCATTACCTTGAAACCTCTGCCTAATAAGAGATGTTTTCAGCTTTTGAAGTTCAACTAATTTCCATGAAGGATGACATTACTAAGCAACAGATTCTGTGGAGTGTCTCTTGAGGAGCAGAAGCTACAGTACACACAAAAAGTAAAAGAAAATTCCAGTACCAGAAGCAGCAGGGAAAATAATTGATGAAATGACATCCTAGATAGAGCAATCAGACCTAATATCACATACAGCATATCTGTCCAGGAGAAGAGGCTTTTTGGAGGCCAGTCCTATACTGTGGCTTGAACTCCTCCAAGAACTAAGGACCATCACCACCTCTGCTCGAAGTGCAAGGTGCATTTCTTTGACCTTGCATTCTCTAACATAAATACATAGCAACATATACACTTAAAAAAACCCCAAAAGCAAAGCACTACATTAAGCACACACAGTTCACCCCCAGAGCAGAGTGAACCACACATGCCACATGTTAGTCACATCGCTTAATGAACTACTGGAAGATGCACAGATATTATGGTGATGTGGATGGTACAAGAATCTATATAGAGTAGACTAGAATACAGGAGTGCTTGCTTCTTAGGCCATAAAGCATAATGTCACTTCTCCATATTGGTTTTGCTGTCTGGTTTTACTATGGCTAAGTGTACACTGGCACTTTTGTCAGTATAACTTATGTCACTCAGGGGTGTGAAAAAAAAATCCCTCTGAGCGACATGAGTTACAGTGACAGACGTGCCAGTGGACACATAGCCGGTATGGACAGTGCTATGTTGGCAGGAGACACTCTCCTGCTGACATAACTGCTGTCGCTTGTTGGAGGTGGTTTAATTATGTCGACGGGAGACCTCTCTCTCGTCTGCATAGAGCGGTTCCGTAAGCGATCTTACAGTATCATAGCTGTATCGATACAGCTGTGCTGCTGTAAGCTTGCTAGTGTAGACCTTACCTATGTTAGAGTGGAACCTTATATATGCATCATGGCTGGAATTATGACAGTTAAATTTTCTAGAGCACTTGTGTACTTTTTGTTTGACTTTGTCCTAGTTGCCACCATAGATACATAGTAGGTGAGCATGCAGAAAACTAAACAAAAGCCTCCCCGCCAAGTTTCCCTATGAATATGCATTTGAATTTTTACATGATTTGTTTTGACCTTGTCCGTGTCCTTTTTTGTGTTCTGTTTGAGCAAACATTCAAGCTCTGTCCAGTTTATTGGCACAAATTTTGCATTATGTGAATTTCCGTATTCATGGCAGAAATGTTTTATATAGTAATCCAATCAGATAAGAAAAACAATACTATGTAATTTAGGTGACTAATCCCAGATAAGTTGTCCAGTATACATTTTGGATGACTATGATCAAGCCAGGAAGTAAAACATTCTAAAAGACAGATTTGACAAATTTGAATGATAAGTACATTCAAGCATATCACAGTCTAGTCATGAATGTTCCGGAGACAGAGTGAGTGAGCCAATCTACAGTACATTTGTCAAATTAGTGGTTGCCCAGTGATGGGATGAATCAATGAGTAATCAAAGCTCCTGGTTCTACGGAGCCTCCTCCCAATCTAACATCCAATCATGCCCTAAAGCAGCAGGAGAGAGATCTTATTTAGGCCACCCCCTCATTCAGCTGAAAAGTCCCTGAAAAATCTGCCTATACAACATGCTCTCAACAAAGGAAAAAAGCTAGATTCTGACTATAATATTTCCCACCCTTCCGAAGCAAAACAAAACAAATCCAAATGCACCCATGTTTGAAAC